AAACACTTACCTTTAAGTGTATGATAGACAATTTATAATTATTTACGATTAATAGCATGAAAATTAAAATGAAATTATCTAAACAATATATTTAAAAAAAAATTTAAAAAAATATCTACAGCTATTCATCAATTTAATCTTTCATATTAATATTTAAAAGGACGTACTAATTATATATGAATCATTTTTTGTTTTTTCTTGGTTGTAGAGACATTTTTATTTTATTTTTAAATCATTTTCTTAAAAGTATGCACTTTTGGACGATGACCCTGTGTGCAGCACAGGATGTTCCCATCACCGATTATTTTCATATGAGTTTTTCTGATGTCGTCAGCTTCTTCCATTCTTCCTTGTCAGTCAAATTTTCAACGTTGATACTAATTTTGATCTTATTTATAAAACATTCTTCGATACACGATGAAGCGGGGATGTGATTTTTGATTTACAAAAGTTTAAATTACTAAATGTATTTAAATTGATGTTTTTTTGCATGGCTACAAAGATTTTATTTGCAATTTTAAGCATCATGCGAGGTGCGTTGTTTAGTACACGTAATATAAGAAAAGAAAATCAATTAAATTAATATAAATACTTAACTACAGTCACTAATGTTAATTGTGCCAATACATAATAGAAAAAAAATATCACACTAGTCAATTAACAGATAAAAAAAAAGGTTAACGATCAAAATAGTCGTGATATTTGATATATAAGTAAACCAATTTTTTTAATTTGAAATTATTACTTTTTTCTTTGAACTTGATTCGACTATTGATTTTTTAAAATTTTAACGTGTCATATATGAATACTAATGGACTATTCATTTTAATTTAGTGTACCTTTTGAGTGTGTGATAAATATTTTATTTTGTACGAGTTTCTTAGTAACTTAGTATTTACTAGTTACTATTTACTTAATATATTGCAAACATTTTGAATAGAATATAATTGATTTTGAGAATGCAACTAGTTTGATTAAAAATAGGGGTACAAGGATGTCCCAAGTGGCAGTGAACCTTATTGAACTTTTTTATTCGTACGTAACTCATAGCAACTGATTATAATCGGATTGGTATTCGTATGCTAATAATTATACCAATTGATCCCACGACTTGTTCGCACATAGTTGTCTAATTAAATGGAATCTGTTATTAAACTGATCAATTTGAAAAATATTGCCAAAAAAATAATATCGTCAGAGAATACTAGAAGCGTAAAAAGAATAATGCAATTTTACAATAATAATTGTTTTGAATAGCAGAGTTATATTTTTAAATGTAGTTATAAAAATTCAAATTTCCAATTGTATATAATACATAATATATATAATATTATTATTGTGTAGTTAATTACAATTGTGTCAAAAAAATATGTACAGCATATTATAATATTGATATTCAATTATCAGGAAAAACTATTTAACTTTTACAAAATACAAGGTTATATTTGATACATTTGAATAGAACGCTACAATTGAAATTGAAATATACAATTTACAAAAAATTAAGGTATAACACATAACTATTCAACATTATTTCGTTTCAGTTAAGATATTTATATTAAAATTTAAACGGTTTCTCATCGGACAATAATGTGACGAATTAGTCGTTAAGATATTCTTTGCAGTAATTGTTTTCGCACTAAACTCCACCGTATAATATAATGCATATTTTGTATTTCATTAACATTAAAATTATGTCGAGGTGGTATATTTTTAGACTTATAATTTTTCGGAAGCATCTTCGCAAATTCGATAATGATAATCGAATCATGCCATCAACGTATTTAGTAGTGCCTACGTATTATTAAATCAAGTATTGTTCTAATGCTACACAATAGCACTGCAAATATTCTTCTGTAGTTATTAACTCCACTGAAAAATACAAGATGTATAATGTTGCCTATTATCTTTCAGATAACGCGTCTAAAATAATATTGTTTGTACCTTAGCCACGAAATCTTATGGGAATTATTAAAAATATTTTTTCAGCCATTCATACAGGTGTAACAGTTTCTTATCGAATGTTAGCGCGTGACGACTATACAGTCACATGTAAGCCCATGTTTGAAACGGATTTAAATGATATTATACACTTTGACGTGTCAAAAAAATCTATTATAATTGTAAAATATAGTATAAATGCAATACAAATTTTAAGATTATAATAAAATCTTACAACCTTAATTATTATTGTTTTATGAATTATTTTTAATTCACATTTATATTACAAAAGTGTAGAATTATGATTTTCTAAATAAAACCAAACGTCAGTGAATGCTGTTCTTAAGCATAGTAATGATAGTATGTGAATTGTTTCACAAATGTACTATGCGATTAGTGACTATGATAAGTACTGTGGCTGTAGGGCATTGAAATATTGAAGTAATTCATATTTTTTTTTTTTAACTATACATTATACAAATAGGTTTCTATACACTACGAATTTTAAGTAGTTATTAAAAGAATATAAGAATACGAATAAATATATTAATTTAAAACGAACATAATAATAATATAATCGTTTGACTATTGGTGAAACGTGTAATATTAATTATGTTCTGATGAGCGATTGATGGTTTTTTATCGGGAAATTTTTCTTTAAATATATTTAATCAACAGTAGTAATATACTCATCACTTTTTTTATTTTACTTAACTTATGATGCATAATATATTTTAAGCTACTCGTCGAAAATTATCAACTCGCCGTCTATAAATTATGCCTTAGAACTCATCATTCTTCGTACAATAAAAATTAAATTTAAATTTACAATAAAATCAAACGTCCTTGGCCTTGCTATTTAAAATATTCGCTCATCATTGAACGTAGTAGATAAACAAAATATTTTATGACTATGATGTACATACAAAAAGTACACATTCAGCATATTATATTACGTGTTGTTGAATATTTCACGCTCATTAATATGATTATTATCTCAATTAATTACATATTATCAGAAACGTGCGTGAAGGGTAAGAATGGTAAGTGTCAATGTCTCTCGGATATTTTTGTTTCTCGTTAGAAAGTGCTATCCGCAGTTCATTATTTAAATTTTGATTATTTGATAATTGAATCGTGAATTTCGAAAACGGCTTTTATCTAAAAATCAAAGTTGTTCAGGAAACTAAAAAAACTGATTTTATTTTTAATTATTTTCTTTATTTTTAGCAATCAACAATAATGAATTAATTTATCACAATAGAAAAGAGATATGAGCCCTTCTCGCTCATAAAATATCGGTCTAGTCTATATGTGTAGATGAAAAAAATGTAGCAAAGTCTATTTTGATAATAACTCGAGATGGGCCATTTCGAAATTCACGATTCAATTATTTGTATAAATGTTTTTAGTATAAATATCACTATTATCGGTTGTTTTTCTTCTTTTCTTTTTTTTTTTTTTACGAAGATTACGCGTGCTTCGCTGTTAATTCTATTGAGAATTGCCGAAATATGTTGTGATACACGCCTCTCGGGCAACGAGGTTCTAAACACGGCTATGCATATTAATACCATCGTCGTTTCGATCAGTTAATTTTATTTCACAGACGAATACACTTTTATGGTATCGACCAACATTGGCAGTTTGTATATACTGGCGTACTTTGTTTACTGCGAACACATCGTTATAGTACAGTATAATTACATGTGCATGAATGGTGTAGCCGATATTTTATTGTACACCGAATGTTGTTAATAATGCTCTCAATGCATATAGGTAGCGCAATAGTTTAGCCTTAACCTCTTTTTTGTTCGAAAAAAAATATGAAAAAAACAAAACCGGTCGTGTACTTTTGAACTGTTCGGTTGAACGCATCAAAGTGTTGGCTAATATTCATCGTACGTTTACTATACATATGTTGACCAACTGTTTCTTGGGAAGTCGTAAAGGTAATATGTTAATGCATAACAGCATGAAAAATATAAGTCCGCGGTGGTGGACAATATGAACAAAAGTGATCTTCGGTTATTCGAAGGTATTATATATATATACCATATATAGGAGGACGAAGGTCATTAATAGTTGAACCCAATGTTAACACACACATATATATATATATATAAACAGATTTATTAATCTTTTAATATTACCATCACTATAATTGTAATACAATTGTATTGTGTTCGTAAAACGAGCAAGATATGTTTATGGTCGTATAACATTAGTAGAAATGCTCGCGTTGTGCCGTTATCAAGGCTTAGTAAGTTTTCAGTAAGATTCGTTGTTTTTATTGCAATTATACTCGTTCGAAAAAAAAAAACCCCAAATAAATCGTAAATGACATAAGAATGAATCGGTGTTCGTCGTGACGGTAAAGTAATACGTGTTTCGAGAAATAATGTGCAAATATCGTAACGATACATGATTCGTACACTGATTCAAGACATTTTTTTCGGAACGTTTTGCCCAAATAAAACGAAATCACAAGGACCGCGAACTCCAAAGGGATAACGATAAAAGAGTTATGTTCCAAAACGGATACTTGCGAAATTCAACTACCAACCCGAGTACAGTGGTTCGGTAATACGTATACGTAAAATAGTAACACCTGATCCGCGTATTGCGCAACATTCGTTATTTTCTATCAAAGGAATTAGACTTTTTTGAAAAACTGAACGGGTCGTGGTAAAATTAGATCGTCCGGTCTAGTTTCAGAATCTCGCGTACACAGGATGCAAGTGTTCATTTTTTATGTTCGATTTTAAACAACGTAAAACCATCGCATATAGGTAAGAATCGTTTTTTACGCGTAAAAAGTGTCTACGGCACCGCAAGAATCAACACAAAATAACGATAATACTTTTGCAGGCTGAATTCTTTTAACGGAAACGAAATTAGCCATACAGTTATCTTATCAAACAAGAGTTACGCGTAAGACGATCGAGAAATGATTACGTTTTACCCGAATATTAAGTGTACTCGTCCTGTCACCATATATGTGCATCCTTGCACCCACACGCTATTGATTTATCCTATTTTTACCAAAATCGACTTACTCATGTTTCCAATTAAATATTGTCAGTGGTCCAATTAAATATTCATGATCCTCCAGTCGTCGGTCGGTTCGCGTACGAAAATTATAACCCGAACACGCACGCGCGCACACACACACACACACACACACACACACACACACACACAAATACGCGTTCACGAACTCGTACAACGTGTTATAACGTCGACTGCTGGTTTTGATCTACCACACGGTCGCGCTGGCCGGTGATCCGATGATCGATCGGTACGTACGAGGTCGACACCCCACTCATACACGTGTGAAAAACGCACGTATACGGATCGTGAATTAAACGGTTCGCGCCCACATCGCGCGGTATACTGGTACTCGGTCTTTTCCAGATTGCGCCGCCCGGTTCAATCGGAAACATTTTTTTTCTGAAGGGATCCCCGTCCGAGTGATGCCGCGGATAATTATAATCGAACACTATTACGAAACCCAACCTACTCACGTACTCGTAAAACGATTCGAATATCGTTCACGCGTGTCGTCTAGCGACGTCAGAGGAGGAGAAGATTTTGACACGAGATTAGTCGGTTCCGCTTGTTTGGTAATCGCTGGTGGCACTATCAGCTGAACCGAATAAGGATTAAAGTAAAATAATAATGAGTTACTTTCAGAAGAGAAAAAGCGTAAATTCAATGGTACCAAACATTAGTAAATATTTAAAATATAATAAATGGAGAAGAAGATATGATTGTAAATTTAAGTAATAAGAACTGTAGTCCGCAGAGCTGTATGTTGATAAAAATGTTTTAAAAAACGAGTAGATTTACTTAGGTATTATTTTTCACAATAACTTAAAATTGAAGTTACATGTAAATAACGTTTGGCTACGTTTTGTAATTTTCAAGCTGGTTATACTAAAGAGTATGATACCAAAACAAACAATAATAATCTTCTTCACATTGTATCAAATGTAATTGGGGATGGCTTTCAAGATAATATATTAAATTCATTTCAACTAAATCAAAGTGATATTACTGTCAAAAAAAATTTACACTATACACAATTAAGCAAACTAGGTTATCCAATGATTATAAAAATTTTACCTGTAAAAAGAAAATTAAAAATTTGATTTTTCATTTAAATATACTTATAAATTTTTTAGTAAGTATTTTGCGGATTACTTAAAACCAAATTTTAAAAAATTTAAAAAATACAGCGTGAAATTACAAATGTTAAAAGTTGTATACTAATTGTCATTTTTTAAACTAGATAATGGTATGTGTTAAAGAAAAAAGGTCCATTCATTTTAACTTTAATGTCTGATTATTATTGTTAATAGTGAATTATAAATTTTTAACAGTTTTTTGTAATTAATAATTGTCGTTGGATATATAAATTTAATACTTAATATTTTTATTGTATTTATAACTTCCAACCTCAAATACAAGCTTTAAATTTACAAAATTTATGTAATTTAAAATAATGATTTGTATTGTTTTGATTTAAATAAAAAAATTATCAAATATATTTTAAAGAGTCAAAAAACTTGAGTTAATGTTCAAAGATAATTTTCTTCGTACAACAATTTACGTGCTTTGATTTGGTGTTCATTTGAGAATATAAAAACTCGTTTACCGTTCAGTACGATTTCGTAGGTGAACAATAATTTTTTAAAAATTAGTAACTAAAAATGTGTTAATGATTATTATTTAGAGCATAAACGAGAATACAATGTATTTGATAATAATTTACGTATTTATAGTATTTTTTTTTGATTTTTATTTTTTTTTTGGTTTTGACTATTTATCATTCGTCAAGTTATCTACCGGTCTCGCAATTGTATTTTTGATCAGAATTAATGATTTTTTTGGAATCGCATCTGGATGAAATCCAATTTTAATCACACGAAATTTAAATAATCACAATGAACGCAGTAGATCGAAAGAAGAAAAAATTCCAGGAAACGCGAATTATTAATGTTTAAAGAAATAGCGGTTACTTATTTACTTATTAAAAACTCTTATTGGTGATTCAAACGGTTTTTGACTGTTAGAAGTAGTAAGTGTAAAAATACTGAAATTATAATAACAGAAATGTTTGTATAATTTAAAACTACCAGCAAATATAATATTGTTAGTAATTGCAGTGCGATAGTGATCAGTGACAGCTATTCTAACCCGACTACATTAAGGTTGTTGTCGAAATACCAAGCCAAAAGTCTCCGATATTCGTATGAGAGGTAAAATTTTATTAAAAATAAATAGCCAATGGTTAATGTTACTATATTATAAATCTTTAAATAGTACAAGAATATTTTTAATAATGGTTTATAATTTTTTTTTTTTTTATGTCATTAAAAAGAGAAAATACGATTTATTTTCTAGTTTCATTAAAACGTCCCATTCGGTACGTAGTGAATTTACAACCACGTATATTCTGTAGACCGTGGACCACATCTGAGCGTCGTTCTATGAAAAAACTTGCGCATGGTATAATATTTATCAACTAGCTAACCCGACAAACCTTGTTTTGTCATATAAATTATTTCTAGAGAATGTTTTGTTAGAAAAAAATAACCAATTTAATATAAGTGTGTAAAGATGTGGTATATAAGTGAAAGAGGTATGCTGTGAACGGTGACGGAATATAAAAAACATCAAACAATTATTTTTTTAATAATTTATTAAAATTCATCATTTAAAATTATATATATCGCTAATTATGACAGTATTAGTAAAAAACAATATCAATCCCTTAATGCAACAGAGTGTACAATATTTTTTGTCATCCCTTCTTTTGCCAACACAAACAAACTGGATGGTTTGAGAGCACGCCACGTATAATTGTCGGTGTGAAAAACATGATGTGCTCAATTCTAAGCCACAGACAGACATCGTTTGGCTTTAAGACTTATTGATAGACATTGCAAATGCTAATCTAATTGGAAATTGAAGGCTTTTAATTGTATTGACACATCTGTGAGTATAATAAGGATTCGCGGTAATAATATATTTTCACCTCGGAATTTTCCATTAAAATGATGGCTTCGATAACATTTTTCATTAATTTTTTAAATTAAAGCCACCAAACGTGGTGGATTCAAATTAACATACAAAACAAAATAACCGGAGATCCAACCTATCAATAGATTTGTATGACACCAAGTCTCCTGGTAACAAATGTTGTATCTTTAGATTCAATTCGTTGACGTCCACATTTGTTGCTGCTAAAATTGCTCTTTCTGCCAGCCACTCATGATTTGTGTATTGTCTGTGTACATTGGGAAATATCTGGTCAATGAGAGTATCTTACGAATCAATGATTATACAGAAATCGGTCGGTAATTTTATACATTCCGTTTCATCTGTAGTAACTTTCACATCACCGATATCTAACATTGTTTTGAGAATCTTCTGCGCGTAGCTTTTTTTGATCGAATCGCGAGTATCGAAATCGTTCGCTCTCTATCTTTTCATACATGTTGACCATGAATTGTTGACAAAGCTCACGACATCGTAGAATAACATTGTTTTGATCGTGTCTAATCATCAACCGATATGCATAATAATTCTTCTAAATAACATTCTTGTTTGTTTGGGCACCTGTTGCGGATCTTGTTGTTTAATATTTATGCAATATCCGACATTTAATACTAAAAATTAAATTAATAGTTTTTAAATAGTATTTAATAGTTTTTTAATAGTTTCATTTAATAATTCATTTTCAATTGCACAGTAATTCACCGGTTCAAAAATTATTAAATTAAACTACGATTTATTAAACAATAGCACTTTTCCAAAAAAAAATTTCGGAATCTTAAAACCTTCTCCTGGCAATTACGAACAATTTAAAAAAATTTGAGCCAAATCGACCCAGCTATTCTCAATTGATGAAATTTTATACATTTTTGGCTGCATTTATATATATATATATATAAGTAACGAAATAGAATTTATAAAAATAAACGAGTGCGATTGAAATTTAGGCCATCTTCCATTACGCGTCCTAAATTTCTACATGTAAATCTGTATGTCACATTCTCACACCACATATACAGAGTGATTCTTTACGATTGATCTACATTTCCGAAAAACGTTTGCCATTCTTTTTGTTAATATAATTCTTATTATAACACGCGCATCATCCTTTCCTCGTCACCATCAACTATCAACGTTTAAGTGACATATTATATTTTTAAGTATTCAGAATACTGGTTTATACTTAAAAGCATTGCGTATCGGTTAGAAAATACGCAATAAAATAGACTGTGGCTCATTAACTCTGTTTCAAGGATGTATCATCATGTATACAATCGGAATAACGAACGAGACCGATATGATAACCGTTTTAAAATGTGTACATGATGCGGTAATATTTTGCTCGTTGATTTGCCGTCCTTGGTATTCCGATGGATCATCAATATAGGTCGCGGGTTAAAAATACATTGAAATTTTTGAAGTTGTTTGAACCCGAAACTTTTGGCTTGAATGTATATATATATATATATATATATGTAACATATATAAAAGAAAAATGAAAAAATAGAATGGAATGCACCGGTGAAAGTGGTAAAATAGAATCCATAAAATGTTTCGCTATAAATAAAAATAAAAAATCATATTGGACGAAATACCTGCTGACCCAAAGCCGGGGTGTAGTTTACAGGTCACTGTCTTATACCCGCACCGTGCATGTATGCGATAAACGTATCTTTTGTCGGGCCAACAACATGATAATATGTACTCGAAAAATCAATTGTAGTCCATTAACCGTGATCGTACGATAATTTACTAAAGTACTAATAGTATCATGGCTGTTATTTCGTCCACTGGCAAAACACACGATGCCATGGCAGAATATTACGTATTCGGTAATGATCATGTGGTAGGTATAAAAAAATATTGTCCAAACAGTGAACTGCAATTTCATTATGAGGTACACGTTTACTCTGTACAAATTATCTCCAAATGTATTCTTAGGACCAACTCGTTTATTAGATGTACTTTAAATCACATAAATATTAAAAAATAATTGTTCGTTTTCAATAATACAAACAAATCGTTAATCTTTCATTTCGTCCAATCAACCGCGGCCGTGGGCCACAAAAAAAAATTAACTGTGAGCCACGTGCGTCTGACATGGCTGTTTTAGGATTATTGATTATTATAATTCACTTTAAAACATGAAAGACGAATTGATCACACCTACTCACATCTCTAAAATGTATTAATACACGCGTCAAATTAA